GGGCGCCCGGGGTCTGCACAGACGGGTAAGTTGGCTGCGGAGAGCACTGCCCCTCTTGTGCCCCCGCCTGAGGCAACACGGGTGTCGAGAGTCAGAGTCAGACGTGAAAGAGCCACGGGGCCGGCTCACCCTCCTGCTCCTGGACAAGGTGTCCCAGGGGGACGCGGCCCGACGGGGTGGGATTTGCACCAGCCCCACCAGCGATGGGACCGGGAAGGGCAGTGGGACCCGATCCTGCAGGTTGTGTTCAGCCAAGAGCGGGCACCAGGTCTGTGCCTTTCTCTCGGGGGTGGTTTGTTCCTGTGTAAAGCCCGGAGGGAGGAAACGGAGCCGAGCCCGGCTGAGCTGCCCCACCGCAGGCACCTGGAGATGGGGTTTCTCCTCCTCTTTAATGAAGGGCAGAATTGAAGCACAAACCCAGATCAATTCATTTTATCCTTGAAATTGCAGTCCAGGGGGAAGAGTAAGTATTTCCTCCTTGTTCATGTGATTTGAAATGTCCCATCTTGTTTTTGTTAGTAATCATCAGCACCGTTTGGAGAGCGACCAGAACCAGTTTCGTGGAGGATTTCGCTCCGCGATCTCTCAGCGCAGAGTGAGCAGGTCAGAATCAGTCCTTGGGCAAAGCTGCCGGAAGCGCCGCCAGGGGTCGAGCTGGGAGGGGAGCGAGGGGCTCTTGTGCTTTCAGGCCTGTGGCCCGTGTCCATGGAAAAAGTGAAGCATCAAGACGGAGCCGACAGGACCCTGCCCTTGGCATGAGGGGCTGAATAACGCTCCCTGCAGTTGTGTGTGTAGGGCGCAGGAGCTGGGCATGCTCTGGATGCCACCCCGTGCTGAGGCAATGATGAGAAATGTTTCTCCTTTAACTCTGCATGTTTTATCTCCAATTCAGAACATCATTTCTGGCACCGGTGTCGCACCTCTTCCGAAAGCTACCCAAAGCTTCCCGGGACAGAGCTCCCCTCCCCACCAGGATGCCTGGAGTGCGGTGCACAGCCAGTGTGGACTGGACCCCGGTTACAATCCACTTAGAGCCACCTGTCTTGATGGCGCAGAGCAGGACAATTGGTCTTTCCTGGGTACCAACATACATGGAGTAAAGCTGCAGGCACAAGCCACTAGCACCTGTGATGTGGAAAAAGGCCAGCGCAGGGTGGCAGGAGTTTCTGTTGGATGGCAGGAAAGGGCCAGGAAGAGAAGATAAGGGAAGAAGAGGGGTCCTGGCATTGGCAAGCAGAGAGGGGAAGGGGCAGGGGGGAGGAGAGGTGTAGTTTTGTTTTGGGGAAGAGGCGGTGCACGAGGATGGCTTCCAACAGGATGGAATAGTTCCTTTCAGGGGTAGACGTCCCCCCATCGACAGCAGCGACTGCAGCTTGAGGCGGCGAGGGACATCCATCGGAGGAGAGGCAGGAGACCTAAGTCCCAGAGCCGGAGGGAGGAGTGCGGCGTCACCAGGGCCTGTGAGCACCCGCCCAGCAGCGCTCCATCCCCCAGGGCAGGTGAGGGGCCTGCAGCGCCGCGGGGGCTTCCCATCTCTGTGCAGGAAATGTATAAACGGGCAGAAAATCTACCCCTGCAATGTGGGCACTCAGCCGCTGGTGCTCCCTCACACCACTTCCAGTGGGGTTAGAGACATCCCCAGGTGCTGAAGCTCCCCACCCCTCCCAGCCCAGCCAGTGCTGCCCAGACTGAGTGTGCAGGGAGCCCAAAGCCGTGGCGCTGCTGGGTTCCTGCAGGTCCCAGGGAAGGGCCCTGTCCTCCTCTCCTTGGCTTTCCCGACTCCCAGGGGCCTCAGCCCATGGCCAAACGTGCTAAGGGGAGGAGCAGGGAGCTGTGTGTCCAAACCAGCTGCAGGTCTTGGACCCTAAGACAAGGGCTCTCCCCACCTGCCAACCCTAGTGCCAGGGAGGCTGTGGACATGGCTCTAACCAGGAGTGGGGGGAAGAGTGTGAAGAGGATGCTTTGAACCCCAGTTGATAATTGCCCCTGTTCGGTGCCAGGATGGACAGGCTGCGGCGGGTGCTCAGGAGGAGGTCGGCCAAGGTGCTCTCCATGGGAGAAGAGAGCAGCAGGGAGCCTGGGCAGGAGGATCGGGGCCCCACCTGCCGTGACGAGGAGGGGCCCATCAGGGCAAGGAGGTGGCTGTGCCCCATCTGCTGCCAAAGAAAACCGGCAGCTCCCAGCGGCAGGGGAAAGGAGGCAAAGAAATCAGCCACCTCCACGTCCAGATGGAGGTGGGCCTGG